TGCTAGGTCAGCAGCAAAGCCAGGATTATGGACAGATTCAGCCTCTGTCCTGGCAGGACAGTACACAAGGAAGCAAAGCCTCTGTGTGGAAGCTTCAGTCCTGGTTGATCAGTTCAGCAGCAGCACAAGCTCATGCAGAAAACCCCCGTACAAACAGATCCCCAGCTCCCTTGCACACCTCTCACCTCCACCCCGCACAGCGCCCACATGAGCACTTCAAGGCTCTGACCGAGAGACTTGCCCGTTAAAACCAGAAACTAAGCTATCCTCCGCCATCCGAGTCCCACCCTTGGCTGGTAATTACCAAACTTCAAAAGCCATCTCTCAGCTGTCCTGGGAAAGGAGTTAAACACTAATAAATGTACTAAGTTTTTAGCAGTCGCTGCACCCCATGTCCCCCAGGGAGCCGGAGGAACCTGCTGCACCCTCCTTGCCTGGAGCCACCCTGCTAGACCCAAGGCAATCAGTTTCCTCTCTACTTCTTCTCAGTTACTGTGCAGTCACGGAGGGCTTTTCAAACTGCTTTGCCTTATGGGTGGTTGCACTTCTCTGGAAAGGTTCAACCACTCCTACCACATTATGGGTTTCTTCTAGATTAAAGTCCTAAGAAATCTGAGCCCATAATCATTACTCAAAGTGCACAAAGTATCACTTCCACCCCCTGTTCCTCCCCTCCCCAACATCCCCCAAAGCTTTGAAACTTCGTGCCATGCTCTTGCTTGCCCTCTGGGTGCAATTAGACCACTTTAAAGATCTATCTGAAATGCTACAGCTCCTTCACACACACTAAAAAGAAATTCCAGTAAATTTCAGTCACCTGCTCTTTTTTTTTTTTTGTACAGTTTCCTTGGACTTTGCCACCGAGAACAAGCAGAAGAGCACGATGTAAGAGAGCTACACCCACTGCTAGAGAATGTTAACCAGCGACTGAGAAAGGGAGAAACCCGTAGTGCTTTCTAGGTTGCACGTGAGCTGGGCAAAACACAATCAAACTAGTGATGTCCTGCCCTTTGATAAACAAGCACTGCATCCTCGGGTCCAAAAGAGATGAGGGGGTGTGGACACATCCACCGTGGCAAATCTACCAACAGCTTTCGGACAGAGGCACCATTCAGTGTCCCACCACCACCTAACGCCACGCTAGGAAAGCTGTATTTAAATTACTCCCCCAACATACCATTAGCAGCTGTGCTGTAGCCACGATGGCTTAGGATGCAAGGGAGAGGCAGCGAGAAAACGCCTCCTCTCACAAACTTGGCTTCTCTGCTCACAACTTTGCTTAAAGAATATCGAGGATTTCCCATTTCTGAAACCACCAGAAACAACCTCAGAAAACACTTGCTGGGTTGCTGCACAGTCATGCCTGACACGTCCTTGCAAGGGTCACTCGGAAGGATCACCAAATCAGCACAATACAGCTCCAGCTCGGCGGACAGGCGACAGGTACCCACGTCTGAACTGGTGTTGGATTTCAGGTACCTCCCGCTTCTTCACTAAGATCCAGACACAGGGATGAAAATAGTTCCTCCCTCACTACTGTCCACGACCGCTACAGCACAGCAGCCTCCCGGGGAACACTGCGACACAGACCTGACACCCAGCACCCAGGGCAAACACTGTACCCTGGAGGAAACTCACCACCGGCCATCCAAGCTGGCATGGAGCGGCAAATCATGACCAAGTTCCTAAGCTTTGGGCAGACTTTTCCTCGGTCAAAACGTCTCTTCTGCTATCTGTGTGCGTGTATGTGTGTATCGCTCTTAAGTGATGTAAACAGAAAGGCATGCAGAGCAGTGGGCGATATGTAAATTCAGCTGGAAAATCCCACAGCTCAGCCAATCTCTGCTGTGCTGCCTTGCAGCTTTGCCCTGGCTGCTCTGTGAAGAGGTTTAGTCTAGTCCAGAAAAAACAACCACCCTCTTAGCACACATGGATTTATTCCTCTGATTGGAGAAATCTCCAGGGACAGGACAGTCCATCGCTCACTTTAAAGAGAGTTTGAGTTTCTCACCCTCTCTAGCTAGTTCCAAACTATTCATAATACCGAAGATCAAGCAGCCTAACAAATAGCAACATAGTCTTTGCTTGTAGAGACAATCCAGGGAAATCCAGTTAACTAAAAATTACCACAGAAAGGCAGAGCTGGTGAGCAGGGCTCACCTGAAAGACATGCACTGATGGTGGGGGGACTTCTACTGCTGGGACACCCACCCCACGCAGAACAAGGTGCTCCCACAGCTCTGAGGCTCTCCAAGGAGCAGGCGCTGCAGGGAGAGCTCTCACCCGGCACCCGATACACCTGCAGTTTTCACACCTCATTAAAAACAGCAAGGTAACTCTGCTGAAGCTCTGAACGCAGGCTGCACTAAGGGCAGAGAGGGAGCAGTCTGTAAGGGGGTACATTGGGGTTCTGCTGCCCTGGACTCCTGGGGGAGATGATGAGCTTGAAGGAAGGGTGACATGTACACCTGTGAGCAACCACCAGCCTCCACATTTCCCAACCCAAGGGCAAGGGAATGTGCTAGTGCGTGCCTCCTCATGCCCAAGAGTACAGCCAGGGAAAGGGATGATGAGGGGAAAAACTCTGACAGACTGAACTTGTCCATGCAATCTGAGTATTCAGTGAAACCAGAATGAATTTTCTCTCAAATGCCTTTCTCCTGGCACAGTTGGGCTTGGCTGAGACAACCTGAGAAGCAGGTATGATCATACTTCCAAAAACAGCACAGTCATGGCTAGTGGGGGCTTGGGAGGTCCCGTGGAACAGGCAAATGCTCAGCCTGTGAAGTGACTAACTGCTGAACGCCAGGTGAAGCTGCAAAACGCTCAGCACTGCTCAACTGCTCAGGACCAACTCTGGCTGACGTACAGCTCTCGGCAGGGCAGAGCAGGCACCAGCACACTCACGCGGGGCTCGGCAACTTCCTGGAGCCCACGAGCCTCCCTGCAGCTCCAGCACCGGGTTGTGTCTGTGGAGTCCCAAGAAGGGAATGGTTGACTGCATGAGGGTTTCAACCATGGGACATAAATTTACCTGTGGTGCTTCACAAGTGGCTTAACGTCACTTAAGGCTGTGCTGCCACAGGAACGGGCAGTTGTGGGCCCAGCCCCACCACTCCCACACTGAGCAGTGGCTGGTATCACCATGCAATCCCTCGGGGCAAGGGAATGAAACTGCCTGAAAACTATGGATTTGTTTGGGGCTTTTTTCCCCTTGGGTTCAAGCAACATCATGAAAATTCATGTTTGGGTGTTATCAGTGAAGGTACCTGCATTCCCTGACTGAATGTTCTAGTCACTCCAGTTCAGCTTAGGTTTCTCACTGCTACTTGGTAAAATTTAACCTCCCTCATGGTGAAATGTCCCTTTCTGCAGGGCAGTTTCACCTGCAAGCGACTTGCTGCAGCACTCTGCAGCAAACCGAACCATAAAGCTGGAGCTTTCTGGCTAGATTTACCCTGTCCCTCCTCAGTACCCAGGGTGGGGGACCCCATGGCTTGGAGGGGGACCCAGCAGACTGTACAGTTCCCTGCTCTTACAATGTCCTGCATGATGCTTAGGAAATCCAGAAACTCTTTCACCTCCTATGCCCCAGATGTGCAATGAAGACAGCACCAGCTGTTCCCTTGCCCCTTGTTGATGGTGACAGCCAGCTCTCGTGGTCAGTAAATGTCTGTACAGCACTTCACACCATGCAGCCCCAGTTTTTGGTGGTGCACTGGGTTATCTTCACCAGAACACACTTTCTGTGAACCACCTCCCCTCCTTGCAGAGCTCCCAGGGAGTCTTGTAAAGGCTGTCGTGGAAGTGGTTGACCTTCTCATGCCACTTTCACTCAGCAAGGGCTTTCTGGAACCATCCTTCACTCACACAGCCCGCTCCCTGAAAACCCAACAATGTCGTTGTGTCCATAAGCAACACTCACTGACAAACACTCGAAGCCAAAACTCAACAGCTGCTTAAGAGGAGCATTAAGTGCTTAGGACAGACTGAAAAGAATACATCACTGGGGTGAAAATGCACAAGGAGGCAAAATTAAAAGTTCTGGGACTGAAACAAAGTGTTTGCCAACATTGTCAAAGTTGAAAAATAACTGCTAGGCCGGAGTTCTCCACAACACAGCTAGCCCCGGGGGGGTACAATAGCCTGGACCTGACTTGCTACATACATATCAAAGCCTGATAACTTATGTACCAGCTTTCCTCTCACACTCATTGGCCCCCAGCAGAGCCCATCTGAGCTGTTGTCTTTCATACCAACAGAGCTCAAAAGCAAGCTGAACTGAAAGAACGTCCTCGCCTTTGGCTTTCACGTAACACAACAGGATCATTGGGTCACAGTCACGGATCAAACAGAAGAGTGTTTGACAGCAAGTCTGTCAGAGAGCAGCAGCTGCGAGCTGGCAGTAGAATAAGGCAGAACTAAACAGCACGTTTGAAATGAGAAGACGCTCGCGCATTGCCTGCTGAGAATTGCAGTTGTCTTGGGGCAGTTACGGAGATCTACTACCAAATATCCTGAATTACGTAAATTGTGAAACCAAAGCACAGGGAAATGAGGTTACTGGGAGATCAAGAGAGAACCAGCAGCAACACGTGCCCTAAGTCAGACAAGTAATGGAGCAGAAAAAGACAAAATTAAGCACACCCCGCTAGAAACAGCCAAGGGAAAGCAGCTGGAGCAAAGAAAGCAGGACATGGACAGGATTCACCGAGGACCGAACACCACCAGCGGAGATACACGAACTCCTCTGCACACATGAAAAATCACGCCGGGCCTTGCACAGAGTTTAAAAACCACCACACAAACCGCCCAAGAGAGAGGAACGAGGCGGCAGAAGCCACCGCAGCGCTGCCAGGCGGGCGGCTGCCCCCGGAGCTGTTCCGAGCAGCCCTGCAGCTGCCGCAGACACCTCCCCAGAACGGGAGCCCCTCACCCGGGCCA